GGTCTCGTAGAGGAGGTATCGTGCTTATGTCTGCTGGGCATAGATGGTGACAAGCGGCTCCAGCAGGGGTCTTCAGCAGGGGTCTTGAGGCTGTAGCAGGGGTCTTGTAGAGGAGGGAGGTATCTTGCTTGGGTCTGCTGGGCATAGATGGTGACAGGGGGCTCCAGCAGGGGTCTTGAGGCTGTAGCAGGGGTCTTGTAGAGGAGGGAGGTATCGTGCTTGGGTCTGCTGTTCATGTGTGGCCGCCGGCATAGTACAATCGTACTCAAATTATCATCCTTCGTTTTTTTTGTGGCCGTTCGAGTCTGCACTACAGTCTTTTTTTTCGTTGTTTGTGTTTTTTACATTGCAGTCCCTTTCATCTAAGTGTAGTTTTTCGAAAATGGACGGCACACTTATGGGACACGTGCGCGGGTGTGAACTAACCCTTTGCGGCACGTAATTACTGTAGGATTACCAAAGCTGTCTGCGGAGACCGAAAATATACCACCGCAAACAAGACGAACAGAACAAATGCACTAACGGACAGGGCGAGACAGGGAAACAGCAAGATTAAGCTAGGACTCATCAGACTGGAAAGTAGTTGCAAAATAGAAAAATACTTTCTTTTTTTTTCTTTTTTTTTTTTAATTATGGTCCGATGGATCACGGATCAGATATTAAACTGATCAGAACAGATACTACACTTGATCTTAGCCAAAAGGCAGAGAAAGGTATAGAAAAATGCTGTAATACAGCAGAAAGGAAAGAGGTGAAAAACCGAACAACAGAAAAAATGAGATGAAATGTTGATCTTAGCCAAAAGGCAGAGAAAGGTATAGAAAAATACTGTAATACAGCAGAAAGGAAAGAAGTGAAAAACCGAACAACAGAAAAAATGAGATGAAATGTGTAGAAGAGACTCAACGGAACAGAAAAAGACTACGATTCTGCTGCTGGTTCCCGATCGCCCTGTGATTAAAAGATGACGTCACAAGAGGTTGCAGAAAGTCGATCGAGTGACATAACATAGTGAGGAGGTGCCGAGGAAAAAAAAAAAAAAAAAACATGCGCAAAAAAAAAAAAAAAGAACTTCAGTTAAATCGAAAAGCAGGTAAGATAACGGAATTCCCGTGCAAGACAAATCCAAATCAAGTCACAAGAGAACAGTCATGGATCCATCTCTCCTCCCAGTTCGTCATCCCTTCTTCCCTCTCTTCCCTCCCATTCTGTCCCACCTTTCCCTTCCGCGTTCCCCACCTTTCCCTTCCGCGTTCCCCTTCTTACCCTTCTCTTCTATGCCCTTCTCTTCCCCCTTCCCCCCCCTCCCTCTTCTCCTCCCCGCCCGCCACCCAGGGTTCCCCTTTTCCCCGAGATGAGTTTCCAAAACGCTTTTTGTCCTGAAATTGTGGCCCATGTCGCAAGATTGCATGATGCAAAAAAAAAAAGGATTACATGGTGCAGTCAGGCGATGTGCTGCCTTTTTTTTTTCCCCCTTTTTTTTCCCTTTTTTTTCCCTTTCTTTTCCTTTTTTTTTTTTTTTTTTTTTTTTTTTTTTTTTTTTTTTTTTTTTTTTTTTTTTTTTTTTTTTTTTTTTTCTTTGGCCTCTTTTTGCCTTTTTTTGCCTTTCTGATCTGTGACGGCTGCTCTTTTTTTTTGTTTTTTTTACTGTCGTTCGTAAAGCCGAGACGTAGTAGGTGTAATTAAATGTGCATCAATGTTTTAACGGACGTAGTTGGTAGTCGGCTAATTAGGGGCAAACTTCAGGTCGCAAAGCCTAACCTCTTCACACGAATACAACGTACGGTCATTATGGCTGTATTTGGACTGAAAGATGCTCCAAATACAGCCATTATGACCGTACGTCGTATTCGGGGGAAGAAGGTAGGAAAAAGGACAGAACTGAGACGAGTTAGAAACTTCCCCTGTAGCCATTGCGCCTACGCCGAAAAGAGTCCTCCCTTTTACACCGAGCCACAGCATATCGTAAGGTACCCATAGAAATCAGCACAAAAACTTTCAAAGACACGCATTTCCTTTCTTTTTTTTTTTTTTTTTTTTTTTTTCCTTTTTTTTTGCCACCCTCTACTACACCCTGGACCTTTTTTTTTTTATAAAAGACACGCATTTCAAAGATAGCGAAATGGAACTCCCATTCGATGACATCCACCCATTCCCTTGTGGAAGCAAAGCAACTAACAGTAGTACCAGGACAAAGAAAATGAAAGGGATCAAAACCAGCGAGGGAGAGAGAAGAGAGAAGAGAGAAGAGAGAAGAGAGGAGAAGAGAGAACAGAGAAGAGAGAAGAGAGAAGAGAAGAAGAGAGGGAAGGGGAGAGGAGGGAAGAAAGGAAAGAGAGAGAGGAAAGGGCAAGGGAAGGGAGGAAGGAAAGAGGTACGAGAGAAGGATGTAGAGGAAGAAGGAAGCCGGCGAGGTGGACCGACGAGGAAAGGAGGGAGGCGAGTTAGGGAGTCAAGGGGCTAGCTGAGATGCCGAGCCGGGGATCACGCGGAATGACGTAATCTGCCTTGAAAGCCCGAGCGATCAGCCCAAGTGACGCTACTGAAAAACACGATGAACCTTCTGACTGGAAAAGCCATCGAGCGATCGGATGGATATCATTTTGAATTTTTGACCGTTGATGTGTTTCCTTGGAGAACCTGAAGAAAAGCCCCAACAATCTCAAAACTGAGATAATCAACTAGCGCAAATGATCAACTAGCGTAATAACAAAAGCCCCAAGAATCTCAAAAGTGAGATAATCAAATAGCGCAAATGATAAACTAGCGTAATAACAAAAAGGGCAGAAAGGCCAACGGATAAGAAAGGAGAAGGGGGAAAACCTCTACAACAACCTGGGCTTTTTATTAAAAAAAAAGAAAAAAGAAAAAAAAAGGAAAGGAGAAGGAGAAGGGGGGGGAAAGAAAGGATAATAAAGGAGAAGGGGGGAAAAACGAAAGAATAAGAGAGGATAAGGGGGAAAGAAAGGGGAAACAAAAAGAAAAGATAAGGGGAGGGGGGGAAG